ATGGTATAGGGTTTCCTGCCTGAGCAGGGGGTTGGACTAGATGACCTTCAAGGTCCCTTCCAACTTTACTATTATTATTATTATTATTATTATTATTATTATTATTATTATTATTATTATTATTATTATTATTATTATTATTATTATTATTATTATTATTATTATTATTATTATTATTATTATTATTATTATTATTATAGCTCTAATCTGCAGCAGCAACACACATTTTTTAGAATTCATTTCTACTCATCAGTTGTGGGTTTCTACTCACAGAAGCAAGCCAATAAAATTCTTAAGGTCTGTCCAGGTGATTTACAATTTAGAGTTGCCTCAAAATTGAATTCCATGCAGAATGTGTTCCTTCTAATATTAAGAATCAGACCAAAAAACAAGCAGATGCAGAACAAAATTCTTAATTTTTTTAACATATTTCACAAAAGTTGTTTTGGTGCCTTATAAGAAAATTATATACAATGCATAGGTGCTTTTTTAGATTATAAGACTGTTCAGAACCAATCGCTATATACTGTAAAGTAAAGCTTATTTGTCCTCTGTTTAGCTTTTGTACAAATTTCTATGGTGTTTTTGCCCTAGGTCAGGAACAAAGCTCAACAAGCCTTTTTCACAGCTTTGGGGACTTACAACTTTTGTTGCAGAGACATCATTCCTTTGGTTTTGGAGTTTTTGAGGCCAGATGGGTACAGTGTCACCCAGCAACAATTTAAAGTAAGGAATTTATCAATTTTCTTTATGGCCATTGATGGGGGAGGTGTAATCTTCAGCCAAAGAGACTATTTTTGTCCCCTTAGAGTTCCAGAATAAATTGGCAAAATTCATTGCCCAAATGACCTATTTTTGGTGTTGTAATATTTATGCCTCTCAAAGTAAGAGTGCAAAAGGAATCAGGAAGTCTGTGGATGATAATTTCTCCTCCTTCCTCACTGTGTGAAAGAATGTTGCTGGAATCCAGCTATTTTGCAGTCGTGATTTTGGTGGCATGATTTCAGGCTGTTTTTCAGACTTTGGGTGGACATAGGAATGGGTTTTATTTCCTAGAGGCCCCATTGCACCCTTGCCTCACAGTAGCCTTACAAGAGAAAAAAGTTTTAAAAAATTAAAGTCCTCTCCTTCCAATAACATCTGCAGTTGTCTGGTCAGGAAACAGTTACCACTGCTAATTCAGGAGACCTTAACTTAAGCTGATAAAATTTAATTGTGAATGTTATATATTCTGTAAATAACAGGATTATATGAAAAACAGATATT